TATGTCTCCAATACTGGCTGTATCCCTGAACACACAGAAATCTACCTAGCTCTTCTAACCACCACGCTCTTTCTATGGCTCTAATAGCTCTGACCCCAGGGCAACTTTATTTATTAACATAAAATTAAAATCACATTTCAGTACAAATAAAGTATCACCATACAGGGTGGTCGAGTTGGAGGAGGAACAGAGAGGGGGGGCACAGAAAGAGACATCTTGAGAGAGGGAGACATCATGGTGTTAGGGAGAAACCTGGTGATAGGGAAATTCCCAGGAATCCACAAGGATGACCCCAGCTAAGACTCCTAGCAATAGTGGAGAGGGTGCCTGAACTGGCCATCTCCTGTAATCAGATCCATGACTACCCTAATTATCATCATAAACCTTCATCCAGTAACAGATGGAAACAGATGCAGAGATCCACAGCCAAGTACTGGACTGAGCTCCTGGGGTCCAGATGAAGAGGGGGAGGAGGGATCTTATGAGTAAGGGGGAGTGGTCACGATCATGATGGGGAAACCCACAAAGTAGCTGATCCAAGCTAGGAGGAGCTCACAGACTTTGAACTGACAGGTGGGGAACCTTCAAGGGACCGAACTAGGCCCTCTGAATGTGGGAGACAGTTGTGTGGCTTGGGTAGTTTGTGGGGCCACTAGCAGTGGGACCAGGATTTATCCATAGTGCATGAATTGGGATGCCTTACTCAGCCTTGATGAAGGGAGGAGGCGCTTGGTTCTGCCTTAAATGACATGCTGGACTCTCTTGACTACTTTTGGGAGGCCTTACATTTTCTGAGGTGTGGATGGGGGAGGGGAAGTTAGGGGTGAGCCAGAGGAGGAGATGAGGGGAGGGAGAAGGAACTGTGGTTAGTATGTAAAATGAAAAAAAAAATAGTTTTAAATAAAAAAGATAATTTTTGAAAAAGGAAACATGCTGAGCAGGTAAGCAGACCTCTGCATCAGCTCCTGCCTCCAGATTCCTGCCCTATTTGAGTTCCTGTCCTGACTCCTTCAATGGTGAATAGTGATGGAAGTGTAAGTCAAATAAACCCTTTCAACCTGAAACAAATAAAATGAAATAGAATAGAATGCCAACAACAACAAAGACACCAGACACATTTATTGGAAAATTAAAAATTGTAAAGGCACATAGAAAGGACTACACTGTTATGTGAACTATAGCATTAAAAACCACAATGCACATCATATTTACTAATATTTGTATAAATAAAAACATACATGCAACAGCAGTCACTGAAAATTTTTCTTTGAATTTGAAGGAGTTCATGGATGAGTAATTGGGAGGATAAGGCAGGAGGGAAAAGGTAGGAGAAATGTCCTTAATAAATAATAATCTCAAAAATGCACAAAAACACATAAATGTGACTAGAAACTGGCGATACACAGGTACAGCCTTATGTGCGTTATATCATTAAAAACTATGATGGCGGGGCTGGAGACAGGGCTCAGTTTAAGAGCACTGGCTGCTCTTCCAGAGGTCCTGAGTTCAGTTCCAGGCAACTACATGTTGGCTCACAGCCATCTACAATGAGATGTGGTCCCCTCTTCTGGCCTGCAGGCATATATGCAGGCAGAACACTGTATACATAATAATAAAATAAATATATATTTTAAAAAACCCATGATGGCATAAAAATCTAGCACAGTGTTTGGCAAATCATAGAGTTGAAAGGTTCTAATTCGCACAGATGCCGGCTGCATGCTGTGCAAAATATGGGTGAAAGAAAGGCGTTTCACATAGAAATAAAAATTTGTATTATATAGAAAACCGTAGATCTGGGGTCTCAGCGAGCCCTGCGGTGAACCATTTCGGCTTTTGGCCAGGACTTCCTCCTTGTCCTTGGCTCTCGTCCCCCCCCCCCCCCCCCCCCAGTGTGGACCAACCGGAGAGCGGACTAAGCACAGTTAAAACCCGCAGGGTGTGATCGAGACATGGTCAAGCCAGCTGCGGGACAAGGACACGACGGGGTGGGGTGGGGCGGATGCCTCGGGACACTAGCCAGGCTGAAAACGTGGTGTTTGCGGACGGCAATCAGCACAAAGTTCGCAAACCAAAGAAATTGGACGGAGTTTCATCGTTTAGAAATGAGGGAGAGTGGCGAGGACACGAAAACAAACGGAAATCTGACGTCCTGCCCGAGCCTGGTGCATAGTCACAGGTGGGTCCAACGCTGAAAGCCGCCTGTATCTCGCTAAGGCTTCCTGCTGCCAAATACCGGTACACAGCAGCCATAGAGCACAACAGCGGACCCAACAAGAAATGTGCTCCAGGAGGCCAAGCAAAACCCCCAGTCTTCTCTCCCAATCCCATTTGACAGGCGGCTGGCACTCCCTGTCTTGGTGTCGCATAGCTCGTCGCCACGGTGGGCGCTCAGGAACCGGGCCCGTGCGCTTCATCTCCATGGTGACCCGTTCCTCTGCAGAGTCCTCCCGAGTTCTGGAGTCTTGGGTTTCTCCTGTCTCTTCTGGAAGGCGCTCCTGGAGTCAGGCTTGCTGGGCGGGGAAAAAAAAAAAAATGAGTTTGCCGACTGCAGTCGACACACAATCCGCTAAAAGAAATCGGAAGAATTTTCAGCGTTTAGAAACGGCGGCGAGCTGAGAGTATAGGACCGGAAAACGAACTGAAACCGCGGCGTCCTGACCGCACCTGGTGCACACTCGCACCGGGGCGCCGAATGTTTTTGATAAAACCTTCTGGATCGTGGTTCGTAGTTCTAGTCGAATCCCGCCGCATGCTGCCTGGCAGAGCCTGACTCTGGCCGCAATACGAAAGGACCAAGGAAGAAAATGAGGGACGCGGTTCTAAATCGCAGACGGACTACAGCCCCGGCTTTCTGACAGCCAGACGAATCGCAGACACTTGACAATCACGAAATACGGGTCTACAGTCCTGAAAACTGCAAAGTAAGGCTCTGAGCATGAGGAATCACTAGGGGGCTGAATGCTGGCTCCATAGCGTCCCCTGCTGGCAGCTGCGGGGAAGAAACAGCCCGCCTGCAGTTCTGAGGCTGGGTTTGCCAGAGGTGGTTTGGCTTCCTCACTGGCCAGGGCTCCAGCCAAGCACACTCACCCTCAGGGAGAGGAAGGCGGATTTAGTAACCACACACTGGCTGGAGATTTCAAGGCTGGCACAAACCTTGAGTTTGGGCCCGAGAAGTTACCATGCGTCTTTCCTCTCGTTGTATTCCACCACTCAGAAGGTCCTTATGTGTGTTCCATAAAAGGACCAGTTGTGAGCCAGCTGTCAGATCTGAAGACACGTAGAAGGCACTCATCTCCAAAGCGAGTACCAGGAAAGGCGCAAAGCTACACAGAGAAACCCTGTCTCAACAACAACAACTACAAAAACAAAACAAAACAAAAACCCCAAAACTGCCCCTACTTGACACACTTCCTTCAACAAGGCCACACCCCCTAATGGTGCCTCCCCTTTGGGGGCCATTAAAAAAAAAGGGGGGGCTAGAGAGATGGCTCAGAGGTTAAGAGCAATGCCTGCTCTTCCAGAGATCCTGAGTTCAACTCCCAGCAACCACATGGTGGCTCACAACCATCTGCAATGTGATCCAATGCCCTCTTCTAGCCATCAGTCATACATGGTGTATACATAATAAAAAAAATACATACATCTTAAAAACAAACAAACAAACAAAAAATTGTGTTGATGGCTCAGAGGCCAAGAACTCAGGATCATAATGTATTCCTAGAACCCACAAGGAATAACTCCAGTTCCAGGGACTCCAACTCCCTCTGCTGACTTCCTCCTGTATCAGGCATACATAAGGTGCATAGACATGCATCCAAGCAAAATACTCACCCACATAAATAAAGAAACCTGTGTCGGGGGCTGAAGAGATGGTTAAGAATAGAAGATAGTTCTTGTAGAAGACACAGATTAGGTCCCCACATGCATATGTACAGGCACATAAAAAACTCATACACATAAAATAAATTTTAAAATAATGTATAAAAGGAAGAAAGCCTACTTTCTTAATGGCACACTTCTTTAATCCAGCACTCAGAAGACAGAGGCAGGTGGATCTCTGAGTTCAAGGCCAGCCTGGTCTAAAGAGCAAGTTCGAGGACAGCCAGGGTTACACAGAGAAACCCTTCTCCATAAGAAAGTATGCATCCTCACCAGGTCTCATCTTTCCATGAGAACTACAGACTAGAGGAGACTCTTACTTCCCAGGGACAAACTATAGTTTATATAATTCCAAGTAGCTACAAGTTTTGTTACTTAGTTCATTTCTTTTTATGGCTGCAAAACAACACATGAAAATAATTATCCTAAACACAGAACAGGCCTGGCGGCAGTGATGGCCCACACCTTCAGTCTCTGTACAGGGGGGCGGGGGAGTCAGTTGGATCTCAGTAACTTCAAGGCCAATGTAATCTACAGATTGAGATCCAGGATAGACACCAAAACTACACAGAGGAAACCTGTCATGAAAAAAATAAAAATAAAATAAACACAGGACAGACCTAACTGCAATCAGGTGTACTTAGTAAAAACCCAACTTAGAACTTTTGATCTCCCACTCATTGAGATGTCAGAGAGGCTGGTGACCCAAACCACCAAACGGTGAAATTTGTCATAAGGACTGAGCTGGGATAACACACACCTTTAATCCAGACTTGGAGTCTGAAAGACATGCCTTTAGTACAGATCTCCAGGCAGGAAAGCACACCTTTAAACTAGACCACACCTTCTGCTGGGAGCCTATATAAGAACAGGGAAGAAGGAAGCTTTTTCACTCTGCCCTCTGCCTGTTCACTCTCAACAGTGCTAGGCAGTCTATTACTTCCCTGGCATCAGAGCTTACTTCCTTAGGATCCAGAGATTACTGAAGACCTGCTGAGACATACATGCTGGTGGACTGAGCAACTTCTGGACTCGGGGTCTTTCATTTCACAGCCAGCCATTGTGGAATTGGCTAAACCACAGCCTGTAAGTCATTCTCTTAAATCCCACATATGCATATATACTAACAAACCCTGTTTCTTTGTCTTTCAAGACAGGGTTTCCCTGTGCAGCCCTGACTGTCCTGGAACAAGCTCTGTAGACCAGACTGGTCTTGAACTCAGAGATCCGGCCACCCCTGGCTCTGATTCCCCAGAGCTGGGATTAAAGGTGGCCAGCACCAGGACCTTCAGAATCTCCACTCTTTATTGAATGCAAATAACTGCTGAGACTATGAACTTATACCCCAGCATCCTGCATTGTAATGGTTGGAGCTATCTAGAAGTTAGAGGAAAAAAAGGAAACTAACTGACTTCTGAATCAGATGCTCAAGGAATTCTCCTCTGTGTTACATAGGTGAGAATCCAAGAGCACAGAGCACTTCCGTCCGGTTTTGTGGAAGATATGTCGATTCTTCACAGCACACCTCGAAGGACACTTGTCTTGCCAGCCCTGAAAACCCACTATTCCATGTCCTGGCCACTGTGTTCCTTAGGAGAGCCAAGCCACTGCTTTGAGAAGAGTTGGTCTGTTGAGTGGGAACTGTTTTCTCTTCCCTGTGGATTTGATTGCTTGGACTGCCTCAGATACCACCCCAGACCAAACAGTGCCATGAAGAGGGGTGCAGATGTCTTCCAGAGTGAGAGTCAGAAGAAGCCACAAATGTCCCCAGGAGAGGGGCACAAGGACAAAGACAGCAATGTGGAGGAGCCAGACCAACCCTCCACAGGCTTGCTCAGCATCTGGAAGAAAGGACAGGAACTTGAGACCTGTGATGGTGGAGACTACCCTGAGCTTGATCCTGCTTCTCACCCTCCCAGGTGCCTAAGCTGCTGGCCATGGCTTCAAAGGGCTTTTGACAGGAAGAGAAAAACCAAACAGAATCTCAGGAGACCTGATGCCTGCTAAGACTTGCAATTAGGGGGTCGTCTGTCAGCTCCAGCTATTACAGCAACACCCCTGCCTCTGCTCACATGCAAATGCAGTTTTGTCTTTGCTGATGTATGTATTTTTTTCAGCTTTCTTAATAAAAGTATTAAACACCTGGAAATGTGTGTTGTTCTTGGAATGCCCTGGTGAAAAGGTGAAGGGTGGAGTGGACACAGAGGAGGATGCACTACTGTTTTCCCATGTTGCTCACAGGTCAAACTTTGGTTCTTCTTCTTAAAAGAATTCCTCCAGGGACCTTGGTAGGCATCCCCAGGAGAAAGCACAGAGTGTGAAACCTTGCTAGGAAACACAACTCACTTTAGAGAGGAGGAATTAGCAGGGCGGTGGTGGCACATGCCTTTAATCCCAGCACTCAGGAGGCAGAGCCTGGCGGATCTCTGTAAGTTCATAGCAAGCCTGAGCTACAGAATGAGTTCTAGGATTCCTCACCAAAGCTGCACAGAAAAATTCTGTCTCAAAAAAAC